CTGAAGCAACATTTCTAATAGCAAAAGGCAGCGCAGGGGGGATAAATATGGCAGGGGCAGAGTGTTTTGCCTGCTCTGCACATGCTGACTGGTGCCTGGCCACTTTTTCTCTCAGTATGTGTCTACATGTACATACACACACCAGCACACAAACAAAAATCATAACTTAAGAAGAGGACAGTTCGCAGCCGAGGGAAGCTGGTTGCTTGCTCGGTGGCCCTGTGTCATTTATAACATACTGCCAATCTGAAGATCCAAGATACAAGCTGTGTTTATCTTCATATCTCCAGGGCTGCCACAATGGTTTCTGAAAATCCCAGGTACAAATCTGAATTGTCTTTAATTTTGATAAAAGCCCACTTCATCTAAGCGCATGTGCTTGTGCTCAAATTCACCGCTACCTGGGAGCGCTGCCCTTCCCTGTTTCTCACACCACCTGAGATCCAGCAATAGCAGAATCCCAGCTTTAATTCTAAATATGGATTTATATGGGCCTTGGAACATTTCAAGTTCCCTGAGGGACTGCATAAACTGAGTGAATGGCTGGATCAGGACCAAAATCTTCCCAAAAATCCCCAAATGTCAAGAATCTGGAATTCCCTCTCTCTTCGCAGACCATACTTCTAGTTCAATCAATAAACAAAAGATTTAAAAAAAGAAGACAAGAGGGGAGAGACAGAGAGACAAAGGGAGAAACAGAGAGATTTTCAGCGTATCATTGTTTTTAAAATACAGTTTTTTCATGGTTCTTCTCTAACCCACATTAGATGTTAAATTCTGAAAGGTGAAAGTGTGATTATTTTTTCCCCATGTGATGTTTTCAGCCACAGTATTCTATCTCCTCCTTCAATTTCCACGGCACCCTCTGCACTGACTTTTCAACAATTCAGCCAGACCTCCTGGCAGAACAGCAGCAGGACTCATATTTGTGGCTGGATGCTCTCCATACCTCCAGTTTCCCGTTGAGTCACAGCCTGCCTCCCAGCTTTTTCCCATTCCTCCTATGCAATGACTGACACGCAGAGTTGGAAATTGCAGCTCTATATACGCACACACACATATATACACATGCGTATACTGAATAAATTTAATTTTCTTCTGTCGCTCTTACCATTCCGGTTTATGACACATCGGTTGACTTAAATGACTCTTCACCATTTTCCATGTTCTGCCTCTCCCACGAGGTAGCTCCACAGCTGCGTCAAGCGATGCTTCCTGGTGACAACGCTGCATTTTAAAAAGGTGCAGGTGAGCTCAGGAGCTATTTCTTCTTCCCATTCAAATATTTATGCTGATTTGGCACTAAGGACTCCAGTTGGAGTTGTTGTCATCCCTTCTGTAAGACATTTTGGGCTTTGGGATATCCTGCGTTTTTAGAGGCACGAAGCTGCAGTCCATAACTTCCACTTTTGATGTGGCCTTGAGGAGAAAATAGCCTGCTGGGCATCGCTTGAGCAGAACGTTTGAATGAAAAAACTCCTGAAAAACTCACCTGGAAATACGAATTTCAGGTTTATCAGCATCCTGACTGACTCATGATGGAGGCCAGGGCTGCCTTTCAGTGTGGATAAAGTGTGACCCTTCTGCCCCGACATGCATTTTCTGTAATATTTGCCATAGAATTTCCATATTTTTGTCCAGGGAAGAAGAGGAAGAAGTGCATTGTCTGCACCAGAAAGCAGATGAGCTCTGGGCAGCCCTGCCAGTCCATAAAATTTCTGCATCCTATTGTCAGATCGCCCTGTGCAGGACTTGCTGAGCCTTCAAAACCTTCCTGACTGCAAACAGCTCATTGACTTTAAATTAATCGCAGCGCCAATGCAGTGCCAATTCTTGTTTGGGTTCAACATGCTTCCCTGTATTTGAGTTTTATCCCTGCGTTTACTTTGGAACCACACTAGTTCTGCTTTTATCTTTAAGGCATCTCTATTTGAACAGCAACCACAGGAAGCTTGATTATGCTCTAAAGTTACGTTGGTGCCTGTTCTGCCTGATTTTGTGCCAGTGAGAAAGTCCCAGGTTTGCTGTCCACTCACAGGAGGCTGAGGCACCCCAGGGCACAGGACAGGACTTGTTGTGGTGGCATCACTCTGCAGAAGGACCCACCAGCACCAGTGAAGCTCAACACTGATGCTGAATCTCTTCTGCAAAACAAGCACTGTGACCTGGACTCTTGGTGTCTTCAGGGGTTGCGCCTGGATGCTGCAAATTATCTTGATTTTTCAGTCTTTTGGAGGGAGGGCCAGAAGAGAGGACAGAAGCCTTCCAGGTACCTAAAGCACTTGGTCAGTGGAGGAGGCCAGAAGGAGATGGGGTGGGTTAGTCTAGGGAGACTTGGGTAGAGAAGACAATACTGGGTTTCAGACAGATAAACGCAAGGTAAATGGAAGGGCTGTTCCCCACGTCCACTGTGGATAAGACTACAGGTAAGAAGTCAAAACTGCAATTAGGGAGATTCACCTCAGACACCACGAAAAAATGAATGTAAGTAAAACCCTAGAGAGAAAGTGACGGTTGTGCAACAGTAGTGGCAGGAATTAAACAAGGAAAACAGCTTGGAGAAGTGTTTGCATTACAGGTATGGCGTGCTTTTGAGGCACAGGTGGGTTTGGCAGCTTCTTTAAGTCCTTCCACCCTACTTAGGTGTGTCCATGCTTCAAACACGTTCAGTTCTTCAGACACACCCTATTCCTTCCTGGTCCCAACAGCCAACCTATGCCAGATCATCAAACGTGCTCTTCCAAGAGAGGTGTGTTCACGTATTTTTTTCACTCTGAGGTTCACATCTCGAAAGCCTCTGTTTGCATATTGTAGAGGTGATAAATGTAACCGAGCTTTTCCTCATAGTAGCTATTTTATTTATTCCCCTTGTTATTTTACCAGTCTAGAGAGTTAGCAGAGACTGGCTTCATGACTGAAATTCATCCTCAGTCCAGAGCTGCTGGATGCAGAGCAGGTGCCCTCTAACTTCCCGCTCCAAATACCAGCCCTGGCAAGCCTTTTGCATGTAGTCTCTCTCCAGCAATGCCACCCAAGAAAGGGCCACTGTGAATATCCATACCAACAGGTGGGTAGATTTTCAGGGGAGCTACCAGCCGTCTAAAACCATATTGGTAACGTGCTTTTCCCTGGTAAAATTCTGGCTCCTCTGTGCTGCATTGTGTAATGCTTTACGTTTCACAAGCGTTATATTATACTGACAGCACTTTCACCAGAGAAGCATTGTTCTCCTCTCCCGTGAAAGAAGAAGTGACTAGGAGCTCTCCTAAGACCGTTTCATGCGCTTCAATGTCTTTGCAAGAGAAAGCATACCTAATTTTAGTTTAAATGGATGTTAATTTGACGTGTGGATTTGAATAACTGAGATAAATTCTTGGCTTTTTGACATTAAAATATATTAAGTGACAAGTGCTTTTTGCATACTGTTATTTTCTGAAAGGTTCTTTCTCTATATAGCATCTATTGATAAAGCTCTAATGCGTAAGAGTCCTGAATTTGCAGGAAGTTGCACTGAATGGCCTAATAGGTCATTTTCATCTCTGGCTTACATGGTAATAATAGAATAATAATAACAGAGGTTGCAAAAAACATTTCTACCCTGGCTGAATCAGCTGACTTTTTTTTTTTTTTATGGGCTGGTTATTCACCGAGTAATAAATATGCATAGATTTTTCAGGAAAGACATAGTGCATAATTTGTCTTGAGCACAATTAAGCAGGACAGGCAGCCTTATCCTACAGCAGATCACAAAGGGCTGAACTTGAGTGACAGGCTTGAGTGACAGCCTAAGTATGCCTGACAGTTGCAGGAGTCATCGGATTCTTCAACAGCAATTGTAAAGGCTTCTCACATTGTGTCTTTGAGCCTTTTCAGTCTAAAATCCCATCTTGAGGGGAATGAGTAACTAATGCTACCATACCAGAGAAAAATTCAATGCCTGGTTTGAATCAGATGACTACTTGTCACTGTGTCCCCCACGATGCTGGATGTACAGAGGGTCAAATGTAGATGTGCCTCTAGACCAGCCTTTACAGCTCAGACTTGGAAAACGTGAAGCATCTGAGTTCAGTTCCTCAGGAAGCAAGGAAAACTGCAACTCCCGTGCCACAGCTCAGCAGAAGACACCGGCTCTATACTCACATCACACAAAATATTGCTAATATTGACCACATGTTGAACTGCAGTTATTGAGGCTTTTCTGTTCGAGGCTCCTGTGCCTGAGCTGGCAATCAGAGATCAGCAGGTGCGTAATAAACCCAATCCCTGTGCACACCTTCTCTGTCTCTGACACACACTGCTAAATTTATTTCCCCCTTGCTGAAGGACCCTGCCAGCTTTCCCTCTGGCTCACATCTTTTCCCACATGCTGCTGACTTGTGGGATCCCTCCCACTTCTCTCCCCATCCTTTGTCTGTGTCAGCGAGGCTGATGGCAAAGAGCTGCTGTCAGCCAGACAGCAGGGGCTCACCCGAGGGCATAAATGTTCCCATCACACTCCCAAAAGCTTAAGTTAAATGGGAAGGCAAAGCCCAAACCTGATGGAACAGCACGAGCTGCCTCATAAAGACTCAGAAGTGTTAACTGTGACTCTTAAGTATGGGAGATCTGAAGGTTATCATTTATCAGTGCCTTATTTTGGCACTAACTCGGTTGATATAAACTGCACTGGGCCAGATGAGATACTGTGAGCTCCAGAAGATGATCTCGGCCATTAAGCCCCCAGCTTCTTGTGGCTTTACCCATCCACACTCCTCCACCTTGTGACAGGCCAGGATACCAGAGCTTTACCCCGTTCCTCAGCCTACAGGACCTCAAAAGAATTAATAATGCCCTGAAAACATAAGCATAATAGCTTTAAAACATTAAAAAAAAACCCTTCTCTGCTTTACTCCTAGAACTAGAAATGCTATTTCAGAGAACTGGTTGAAACACAGCACTGCTTAAATAAGGTATCCACATCAGTATACATGGCTTTCTGTTTCTCAGCCTAGCAGAGCAGTTTATGCTTTTCCTCTGTGGGCAGTGGCATCCCTGGAGATGATATCCTCTCTCTCAGGACCAAAGACCTCCTCCCAGATCAGTATTTCATACTCCTTGAGGGTTTTTTGGTCTTCCTGGAGGGCCTCCTCATCTTCCCAGAGAGCTCTCTCCTCTTTCAGGAGAGCTGTTTCATCTGCCCACAGAGCTGCTTCTTCTGCCCATAGGACTCTATCCTCATCCAGAAGGACTCTGTCTTTCTCCCAGAGGAGCTGATCTTCTTCCCAGAAATCCTTATCCTTCTTCCAGAAAGCATTATAGTCCTTCCAGAAGTTACAATACACGTTCCAGAAGGCTTTTGCTTCCTCTTGAATAGCCTTTTCTTCTTCGTGAAAGGCAGCTTCCTCTTCCCAGACTGGCTTTCCCTCGTCCAAGAAGGCTTGCATGGCCATCTTGACATCTCTGATTTTTTCCCTAAAGCCCTTGATCTTCTCCCGAAAGCTCCTCATTGTCTCCTGAAAACTCTGAATCTCCTCCCGGAAGGCTTTTTCAGCCTGCAGCTTTTCAATGAGCTTCTGCTGGCGGGAGGTGCAGGACATCAGCAGGCAATGGCAGCTCCAGTTCACGTGCTTGCTGCTGATGGAGGGGACAGACACCCAGCCTGGCCCCCCACCTCTCACACTGTGGCCCAGGAGAGTGGGGAGCGGTGGGCATCATGATGACATCACCCAGACCTACGTCATAGTTGGCTTGGAATGATGTTATACCACAAGTGAAGGTGTTTATCGCCAGCAAAAAAGAAATCCCTGCCCAGGACTCATCCAGCATGAAGTGTGGTGGCACCTGAAAGCCAACCTGTGCCGTGCAGGGTCATTTCTCAAAGTCATTTCCCACTGTGACTCGAGGTGCTGCTGGTTTGGAGAGGGGTAGGGGCCATGCCAGGACCAGCCTTTGGCACTGTGCTGCCCACCCCGGCCCTGATCAATGGGCCCCAGTCTGAAGGACAGACACCTCTGCCCTTTTCCCTCAGGTGCTCAAGGCACTCTCATCTCTTTGACCCTTGACTATGTCTCCTGTCCCTTCACAAACTCCCCCCAGAAATTCACAGCTTCCAGAATCAGAGGAGACTTGACTGATGAAGAGAAAACAAAAAATCTAATTTTCTGTTCACTAATCTGGCTAATAATTCTACAGCAAGGATTAAAGCTGGTTACTTATTTATACTGTTTCATTAGATTTATTATGACTCCACAGCAGGAAGCAGGTTGCTTTATAAATAAAAAGCTCTTGCTTATTAATATATTATGAGCCTGCCTATCCCTCACTGTACCATCAGGAAAGGTCCCCGGGGCAGCAGATGAATGCAGCTCATGGCACTATGCACCTCTTCTGCATAAGGGTTGAGAAGGTAGGGAGTGCCTTGTGCCTGTGTGATGGTTGTGATGAAGAGAAAACAAAAAATCTAATTTTCTGTTCACTAATCTGGCTAATAATTCTACAGCAAGGATTAAAGCTGGTTACTTATTTATACTGTTTCATTAGATTTATTATGACTCCACAGCAGGAAGCAGGTTGCTTTATAAATAAAAAGCTCTTGCTTATTAATATATTATGAGCCTGCCTATCCCTCACTGTACCATCAGGAAAGGTCCCCGGGGCAGCAGATGAATGCAATGCACCTCTTCTGCATAAGGGTTGAGAAGGTAGGGAGTGCCTTGTGCCTGTGTGATGGTTCCAGGGCACAGTGACAGGATGGACAGACGGCCCAAGGTGCAAGACCTCCCATGCACCCTGATACCACCATCACACTTTTGCTGTGCTGGAGGCATAGACTCTCCTCATCCCGGATCCTCCCCCCCACCTCCAAAAGATGAGCAGGGATATGTCCCAACCCCTTCCATAGCATTTTGGGTATGGCCAAGGAGTCTTCTAGGGACAACTGTCCAGCTCTTGCCTCTCCTCACCTCCACAATCATAGAACAAGCCAGAGGGTGGATGGCTCCTTCACTGCAGCTGGGATGAGCTCTTGTGGGTGGCAAGCTCAGGGGGACCTGCTGAGGGATTTTGTTCCAGGGCACAGTGACAGGATGGACAGACGGCCCAAGGTGCAAGACCTCCCATGCACCCTGATACCACCATCACACTTTTGCTGTGCTGGAGGCATAGACTCTCCTCATCCCGGATCCTCCCCCCCACCTCCAAAAGATGAGCAGGGATATGTCCCAACCCCTTCCATAGCATTTTGGGTATGGCCAAGGAGTCTTCTAGGGACAACTGTCCAGCTCTTGCCTCTCCTCACCTCCACAATCATAGAACAAGCCAGAGGGTGGATGGCTCCTTCACTGCAGATGGGATGAGCTCTTGTGGGTGGCAAGCTGAGGGGAGACCTGCTGGGGGATTTTGGGTGACTACATGAGAATTTTGGTTCTGCTCTTTTTGCCTCATTCCACTTCTGACTCCTGAACCTTCCACCTATAGCTGGGGCTTCCCTGAGTGGTCAGAGGGGGTGAAAGAGGAAGGCAGGCATCTTCAGCTTCACTCTCACGGAGCTCCTGGGCCTACTGTTTTTTCCATGCTTGCTGTGAGAAGGATCCCAACAACAAGTGGTGTGCACACCCAGTTGGGCTGCCTCATCTTAAGGGGTTAGTGGTACCACACCATGTGCACAGAAGGCCAGAAAAATGAGGTGAGTGAATGTGCCAAAAACTAATTTGCAGGAGCCTGTTATTAGTTGAGTTTCAGCAGAGCTGCTGAAGCAGCAGCCATTTCCCCCACACCAAGGGGTTCCTGACGTGGCTTCACTCTCCATGTGCTTTCTGTGGGGTTCCAGATTGGCAGTTCCTCTTCACTCACAGCAGAAATGTCATTAAATAGGACATGCTGCGTTTCCACTCCCTGGGATTGTGGCTGGCAGCAATTAAGGCAATAGCAGTTCAGTTCCAGCCATCCCTGTAAGCCCCAGCAGCAGCTGCCAGCCCATTAGCAACCTCAAATACACTGTCTCTTCTTTAAAATGAGGATGGTGTTATTTCTACTTAGCTAATTTTGCCACGCTCACTAGCCTGGAACATATTACTGATATTTTAGGTGATGCCCTCTGTAACCTAGAGAAGTTGTACACACATGTCCAGCATCCCATCTGATACAGCCCTTGCTCCACCCAACACTTGTACCACTGCAGGTGGTAGGAAGCCATTCAGGCTTTCACTCTGCCTAGTTCTACTCTTAGTGACACGAGGATGAGGCAGCTTTTGGGTTATACACTAGGATACAGTGTGGTGACCAGGACTTGGGGGGTGTAGGAAGCCATGTCGGCTTTCGCTCTGCCTAGTTCTACTCTTAGTGATATGAGGATGAGGCAGCTTTTGGGTTATACACTAGGATATAGCGTGGTGAGTAGGACTCAGGGGGTGATCATCCCCCTGTACTCGGCACTGGTGAGGCCCCACCTGGAGTACTGTGTCCAGTTTTGGGCCCCTTACCACAAAAAAGACATTGAGGTGCTGGAGCGTGTCCAGAGAAGGGCAACAAAGCTGGTGAGGGGTCTGGAGAATAAGTCTTATGAGGAGCAGCTGAGGGAGCTGGGGTTGTTTAGCCTGAAGAAAAGGAGGCTGAGGGGAGACTTTATAGCTCTCTACAGCTACCTGAAAGGAGGGTGTAGAGAGGTGGGGGTCGGTCTCTTCTCCCAAGTCACAGGCGATAGGACAAGAGGAAATGGCCTCAAGTTGCACCAGGGGAGGCTTAGGATGGATATTAGGAAAAAATTTTTACACTGAAACGGTTATTAAGCATTGGAATGGGCTGCCCAGGGAGTTGGTTGAGGCACCATCCCTGGAGGTATTCTAAAGATGGGTTGACATAGAACTTAGTGACATGGTTTAGTGATGGTTTTTATCAGCGTTAGGTTGATGGTTGGACTAGATGATCTGAAAGGTCCATTCCAACTTAGACAATTCTATGATTATATGATTCTATGACATCTTCTCCAAAACAGCCAGGGGGCCACATGGAGGACATCGGTGCTCACAGATCAGTGTCCAGGTCCAGAGAAGGGCAACAAAGATGGTGAGGGGTCTGGAGAGTAAAACTTATGAGGAGCAGCTGAGGGAGCTGGGGTTGTTCAGCCTGGAGAAAAGGAGGCTGAGGGGAGACTTTATTGCTCTCTACAGCTACCTGAAAGGAGGCTGTAGAGAGGTGGGGTTTGGTCTCTTCTCCCAAGTCACAGGTGACAGGACAAGAGGAAATGGCCTCAAGTTGCACCAGGGGAGATTTAGGATGGATATTAGGAAAAAATTTTTACACTGAAAGGGTTATTAAGCATTGGAATGGGCTGCCCAGGGAAGTGGCTGAGGCACCATCCCTGGAGGTATTTAAAAGATGGGTTGACATAGAACTTAGTGACATGGTTTAGTGCTGGTTTTTATCAGTGTTAGGTTGATGGTTGGACTAGATGATCTGAAAGGTCCATTCCAACCTAGACAATTCTATGATTATATGATTCTATGACATCTTCTCCAAAACAGCCAGGGGGCCATGTGGAGGACATTGGTGCTCACAGATCAGTGTTGGTGCTGCAGCAGAGTTGAAGACCCAGAGCTAACGCGCTGTTGTAGCATGCACAGAGATGACTATTTGACAGAAGGACAATCCCAGAAACCTGTGTGTAGAAATGGGATCTCCTAGTGCTAATCCCCAGGGAAAACACAGGTGATCACATCCTCTTCTGCCCTGTGGATCCAGGGCCTGAGCCTGTCAGAAGGCAGAGTGCCCTGCATAGGAAATTCAGATTGGTTGCCTTGCAAAAGCAGACCAGACTTGCACTTGAAAACATGGAAGATGGAGGACCAGCAACCCAGGGCAGGGAAAAACAAGGAGTTGTTTCCTCATATATCATATTTTAGGGACATGGTTTAGTGGGACTTGACAGCGTTAGGTTTACGGTTGGATTGGATGATCTTAAAGGTCTTTTCCAGCCTAAATGATTCTATGATTATATGATTCGTATTCCCTTCCAGGGTTCAGAAACTCCTCAGGAAAACAATTTCACTCTAACTTGGAGGGAGGAACCCATTTGCCTAAACAGAGACATCCAGTGCCATTTTAGACACTCAGGAATATATAACCTATCTGCAGATGATACTGGCAGAAGATAACACATAGGAGACGGATGATCTTAAAGGTCTTTTCCAGCGTAAATGATTCTATGATTATAGGATTCATATTCCCTTCCAGGGTTCAGAAACTCCTTAGGAAAACAATTTCACTCTAACTTGGAGGGAGGAACCCAGATGCCTAAACACAGACATCCAGTGACATTTTAGACACTCAGCAATATATAACCTATCTGCAGATGACACTGGCAGAAGATAACACATAGGAGATTTATGTCCTTTGGGACCCACAGGTGGAAGCCAGGGGAGATATCCTAACGTGTCCCAGGGCACAGGGCACCCATGTATATGCACAAGACACAGACATCCAGTGACATTTTAGACACTCAGCAATATATAACCTATCTGCAGATGACACTGGCAGAAGATAACACATAGGAGATTTATGTCCTTTGGGACCCACAGGTGGAAGCCAGAGGAGATATCAGTGCGTCCCAGGGCACCCATGTATATGCACAAATCCCACCTTTAAGTCTGTCTCTGATTTACGTGGCTAAAGCTTTGTTTGGATCCTGCCCCAGGAAGTTACCAGTCCAAACTAAGAAACCATTTTGCTATTGTGAGGCTTCCAT